ATAGTTTATACTAGAATGGGACATGGGCTCACCAAAGTAAACAGCATCAGTATTTCTTCTAAAAAATGTATAACCCAAAGAGAATTGAGGAAACATATACAGAATGTAGAACTCTGTATGACAGTAAGGTCGGCCCTCTTCACAGAAAAAAAGGGGAGGGCAGGGGAGGGGAGGGGAGGGAAGTGAAGGGAAGGAAGGAAACTCATAGATCTAAAAGAGACTAAAGACATCCCTGGCCGAGTAGCTCAGTTGGTTAGAGCATCATCCCATCGCCAAGACTGCAGGTGGCGCATACAAGAATCAACCAACGGATGCATATGTTAGTGGAACAATAGATGTTTCTCTCTCCTTACCTCTCTCTAAAATCAATAAATAAGACTAATGACACAATGGCTACATACTGAATTCAATATAAACCTTGATTCAATCTCGATTGAAGGTGGTGGGGTGGGGAGGGGAAAGAGCTAAAAAAAAAAATGACATTTTTGGGTAGTTGGGTAAATTTAAATGTAGACCGTATATTAGATGATTACTATTGAATTTCACATTTCTCAGATATGGTAAATGACACTGCAGTTATGTGAGAATATCCTTATTCTTAAGAGATGCAGGTTGAAGTATTATTTAAGGATAATTGAAGTATTACAAATATTGAAGTATTTGGGGTGACATGCCATAATGTTTGCAAATTACTTTTCATGATTCAGGAAAAAAAAGTGTACCTGTGTGTGTGTGTGTGTGTGTGTGTATAGACAGCTAAGTACATGTGTCAAAAACTTATCTTATGACTTCAGATGAGATTATGTAGGTATTCATTGCATTAGTATTTCAACCATTTTTGTAGATTAAAAAAAATTTTAAATAAAAAGTTGGAGGGAAAAGTGCAAACAAGTTTGGGGGCATGTATGTAAATTTTACATATTTTAAAGAATAAGTTATATTAACATAGAAAAATCTATCATATTTCAATGAATTAAAGGAAGAGCTCAGTAACCTTACATTTATAAGCCTTCCTTAATTCATTTCTTTGTGTGGGACTGCTCTACTTTAAAAATAGCTAATGATTCAGAAAACTCAACAGCTAACAAATAGGGCTTAAATCTGAGTCATTTAAAAGTTTAGTGTAAAGAAGGAGAAAGTAAGTTTGCTTGCAATATATACAGTATGTGTAAAAAAGTTTTTTCATTTAAACAGTTGAAATCAAAAGAGAGATTATGTACTGAGCTTTCACTAAAATTTTCTAAGAAGTTAGGCTGTGATCTTTTCTAGTCAAGTTCACTGCATTAGGAAATAAAAGAAGTAATCAAGATAATAAATATTCTTTTGACTCATGATAATGTAGGAGGGTAGCTGGAAGAATGTGAAGAAGAGTATGAGACTTATTTTAGTAAAATAGCTAGGATGTAAAAAATAAAAAAAGAGATTTACTATATGATTTAAAGCATGCTATGAAACTACAGGACTCTAAAAGACCAAACTTGATTTTGAAAAAAGAGCAATGTTGAGTGGTTTAAATAACCACAAGTAATTCATTCCCAAAACGATTGAGGGATAGTAGGTGACAACAGGATATATCATCACTTCCCGTTATTAAATTACTTAATATATAGGCTCATAATCTATTACAATCCCACAAATTTTTCATAAATTTTGCAAAAACTCATTTGATGTTGACACTTGACCTGGGGCTTTTGATAGTTGTCACTTACCTCATCAGTGACTATATGTTTTACTGCAGAAATATTAATGTGTCTGATTCCAGGATACTGCCACAGACCCTGCTTGGAGGGTCAAATATATTGTAAATGCACTGTATTACCTTACCGAAAATCCTAAGAATTCTGAATACCAAAACATATTTGGTCTAAGGGGTTTAGGATAAGGAATTATGGAGCTATAGTACTTCTGTGAGGCCTTTCCTGAATATTCCTCTCTCAGAAGTGCCTTCCTCTGTGCTTCCCTGCATTTTTTAAAACAAACTTTTCCAACATTATAGTAAAGACCATGTATTTTAATGTTTTGACTATTCCCCAATTATTTTAAGTGCCAGAGAAGTGATCCAATTCTTTTGTCACCTAGCACAATACCTGAGCATCAACTCAGTTCACAATAAATATTAAACAAATATGAAAGGATGAAAAGAAATGCGTAGAGCTCAGAGAGTTAGTTGAGTGGATGAGAAAGCACAAGGTAAATTTTCCTTACTTTCCTTACATTGTGTGTGTGTGTGTGTGTGTGTGTGTGTGTGTGTGTGTGTGTGTGTTACTCCTCACCTGAGGATATTTTTTCCATTGATTTTTTTTAAAGAGAGAAACATTGATGGGAGAGAGACACGTCGATGAGTTGCCTAACCTGCAACTGAGGTACGTGCCCTTGACCGCTTACATTCATTTTGACTGGGCAGACTTACCATTTAACTGTGAAAACCTAAAAATCACACATTGTAAAGTCACAGTATTTATGAATTAAAAACAACAACTTTCAGGGAGCAAGTTAAGGAAGAGGACTATATTTGTATATCTTCTCTATTCCACTTTTTACATCTCGCTGATATTTTATCTTTTAAAATAACCTACAATTCATATGCTCAATGTATAATGAATTAAAGCTTTACTAAAAGATAATTCAAAGGAGAAAAGAGAGGAGGTATAAAAATTGCAGTGCACATTAAAGACAGTTTAAAATACCAGAGTGATAAAAATAAAGAGAAAATTCAAGCACACATCTCAAGGCAACATTGGGAGAAATGGCTGACAAGGTAAGTGGGGGTCAGATCTGAGATACAAATGGGGACATTAAAGAAAGTTTAAATTTGTGCCTTACTATGTTTAAAATAGTTGGTTGCTGGTGACCTCAGCAAGAGAAGTGACAGGGGCATATTAAATGTAGAATGCTATGGATGGGGACGTGAACAGGAGATGAAGAAAATAACTCAAAGCAGAGGAAAGGAATGGCAGGGGAGAACACCATTTCTTAAGAATTGGTATAGCTCAAAGAAGCTAGAACAAATCAACACCACTTTCTTTACTGGCAGGATCTAGATTTGAGGACCAAAGCAATGATATGGAGACAATTTTACAGCAAAACTGATCTGAATTTACCTACTTTACGCCTATCACAAAATAAACTAAACATCTGTAGTGACTTTAGACAAATTTTCCCCAAAAGTAACCCCTAATTTCCTATTCAGAACCAAGTACCATTCTGAGATATTGCAGGGAACATGGAGGGCGTCGGCAGCGGCGGGATGGTGCAGTAGGTGAGCAGGGGCGCCAGACCAGGGCAGGGCACTGGTTGCTGTCATCGGGGCGAGCCTCTGGTGGTGACTGAAAATTCTTTGCTCTCGCACACCATGGTCCCACTGGGTGCTCACACCTGCTGCGGATGCCAGCCCTGCTTGCACCCGCAGCCGGCACCACTGCTCAGACCTGCTACCGGTGCCTGGCACAGGCCCAGATCACCCCTGAAGGCTTCTCCACCTCCCCCTGCTCCTGAGGGGTGATCGGGGCAGCAGCTGCTGCTCGCACCTGCTGCTGGCGCCGGCCCCAATCGCTCCACGCTGTCAGTGCATGGGAGCTGCGACAGCAGGAGTGGGCCTGCCGGAAGACAGGGGACCAGGGGCTGTGGTGGGAGGGGCCAGGTGGGGCACGGAGGATGGGCCGAGACCCACCCCTGTGCCCACTATAGCTTTGCGGCCCACAGTTCCTTTCAAGGTGCACAAATTCGTGCACTGGGCTCCTAGTAATAGAATAAATGGATAGACAACCCCCAAACCCAACTACCAATTACATGTATAGAGTATGATACCTAAGATCCAACTTTTTCAAGTATTTGTACATTACTTGCTATGATTTAGTTTTTGTTACCTTTGCCTCCTCCTACCACTTCTGCCCAGGACAAGATAAAAATCGTGCAACTGATAAAGGATAAAGGACTGTATCATAAGAACATCCACATACATATTACCTTGGCCACACAATTTTTGTTTGAATAAAATCTGGGAGGTTTGAAATCATTTTAGTAAGTCATGATTACTTTTAAAAGGTAGTATTTTAAAAACAACATGTGCTGACCAAATTATTATAGCTGCAGGGAAAATACTTAATGTATTATTTTAACAAAGACAAATTTATTTCATCAGTGAGTATAAAGCAGTGTATTCCAAAATAAGTTTATGAGGAGAACAATTCTTCAAAAGATACTGGTCAAACAAATGGGTTGGGGAAATACAATACATTATAACCCTTCTCCCCATTCACAAAAAACACTAACACTTAAGTCTTTAAAATATTTTACAAAAAAAGAAAAAAAGAAATACTTCAACTTTATCTAATCCATCATTTCCCATATTTCTTTGACCAGAATTCCCTACCTTTTGGGGGCAGGGGTAGTAACGGTAAAAAACACAGTTTAGGGAAACACTGCTATATATAGCACTATTTGAAAATGTTACTTCTAAACAGATTTATAATATAGCTAGGACAGAAACTGTGATAATAAATGAGCTTACTAAAACATATGTATTCAAATAACTTGCATTACATGTTTAAAGCAGCTAAACAAAGGGACAATTATAAGATAGATGATTTAATGAAAATAAAAAATTAACGTTTTAGTCAAATCCCTATATTAAATGCTAATTTCTCTGTACCAGCAATTATTTTGTGATATCATTTCCTCCCCCAATACTAAGGGCAGTCTTTCAATATTAAAACTAAAGTTCTCCTAGAAATCAGGTGGTTCAGAAGATAGCGGGGAAGCAAGGTTTGTGAATCTAATTGTTTAAAAGTCATTTGTGCCTTTGATCCTCTTTATACAACAGTGCACTAACTATTTGGAAGGGAAAAATACTTTTAACATGTGGATTCTTGTATTATATTTTGCTAGACTTCTGGACAATTTTGTTTTGATGTCAACATAATTCTGGGGGTGGAGAGGGATTGAATAACTAACACTCCCCAAAAAAGAGAGGGACTACAGCAGTTTTAGAAAGCACTTACTTAATCATTTCAAAAAGCTTTGGATCTGAGACCTTGATATTTCGTGCCATATTCCAGGAAAGATGAACCATGGGTACTATTGACTTCACACTTTGCAATTTGTTCCATTCGTACCGTTCCACTGCCAACTTATACTGGCAGGCTAGGAAAAAAAAAACAGTTATAAAGCAACCCAAAGTACCAAAATTTATGAAGATAACCATTATCACCTTCTCGGGTGATATCATCAATACCAATTCTGAAAACCTCAAAATATTACAAAAATAACTTTTATGTTTTTTGATAATATGGTAATAATAGCGATCATGTAAACAGTGCTCATTTTAACTATGTGCCAGGCATTGTGCTGAGCTATTTTAATACATTATTTCATTTAATCTATAGTATCACCTTTTTAATTTTATTATTCCCATTATACAAATGAAGAAATTGAAGCCCAGAGAGGTTATATAACTTGCCCAAAGTTGCAAGAGCCAAGTCCTGGTCCTAATCCAGGTCTATCTGGCTCCCAAAGCCATATTATTCATCTTAACTATCTACTGCCTGAAGGCAGGCAGAATCCAAATGGATTCTGATATAATAGGGCTATTCATAATACCAGACAGAGAAAAATTTGAAAGACTGAGTAACTACTCTACTTTGCTTTCTCCCATAAAGGGTTTCCTTAATGGGAGAAAGGAAAACAAAACCAAGCACTCTATCACATGGAGGAAAGCCACCACTGATCACAAATACCCATTTTAAACTATTATAATGAGGAATAAGAAAAGTCTATTGTTTTTTAAAATATATATATTTTTCCTTGTATGTAAAGATATACGTTTTTGCTGAGATCTATAGTCTTGGATTTCTATTTGTTAACTTGAATTTAATTTCTTGTACTACAAATTGAATTTTTATTCAAGGAGACATTTTTCTTCCAATTTTTAGTGGGGTATATTCCAAGAAGAAAAAAAAAAGAATTATCAAATACAATCCCTTATAAATTAAACATTTTTTTTAGCATAATCTTTAAAATACCTGTAAGTGGACCAACATTCCAAGCAATATTGTTGCACCAGCCAATAGCCTGAACCCAATGAACAGTGCCTGCATTTATCCAGACCAAATCTCCAGGTCGCTGAATAAACCTATACACTGGAACATTTGCTTCATAAAGGTCTTCAAGGTTGGGCCACCAAGAACCCATTAGGAAATTCAAATTATTTCTGAAATAAGAAAAAATAATGCGAATGTATCAAGTACTTTAATAAGCTCCTTATAAGACTAGAAGACAAATGTCAGAAGTTTTAAAAATATGTTCATTCATTGCATTTAAAAGTAATGGCTTGTGCAGTAAGAACTGCTATATGTACAGGGGGTAAAATTAATTACAGTTAATTTTTGGATGACTTAACCAAAGATCAGTACTACTATCTTAAGATGATTTTTTTAAAGATCCAAATGAAATCCAAAGCTACCTTTAAGCAACACTTATACACATTAATTTTTAATTTCACTTCTCTAAAGGCTGTTTTGATTGAACCCTTCTCCCTGGAGTATTGAGAAATCTCTAAAAGGTAAATAGAAGGTGGAGCTGACATCAAGTCATTTAAATCCATAAACAGAAACACTATGACAAATAAAGTACTAGGAACTTCTATTTCTGAGGCAAGTGAAAAACAGAGGTGGTCTCTAGCTTTCATGACTGGGTGACTATGCAAAATGAACAATCTCACCCATGTACAATCACACATATGCACAAGTAACCATCACTGCTGCCATCACCAGTATACTTTGGAAACATTTCTACAGATCATATTACCATGCTTATATTTTAAAATCCAGCTTCTTATTCTACTTCATCATGATATAATATGAAGTACTTTTTAAACTACATAAACAACTTTTCCTACAAAAGAATTTTTAAAAATTCAATTTACTACTTTAAATTTCATTTTGGGGAATGAAAAACTTCCAGAGTGGAAATCTTCCTTTCCTTAATATCTAAGATACAGCCTTGTTTTTATTTCTGTGTCTTGTGCTAAAAGATATGATAAAATGTACCTTTAAATTATTTTCATTGGTTTAAATTTCATTTTTATTTTTTTATATCAAGGACTGGCAAATCCAGCCCATTGCCTGTTTTCATAAATTAAATTTTTTATTAAAACAGAGCCCTTGCCCTAACCGGTTTGGCTCAGTGGATAGAGCGTCGGCCTGCAGACTCAAGGGTCCCAGGTTAGATTCCGGTCAAGGGCATGTACCTTGGTTGTGGGCACATCCCCAGTAGGGAGTGTGTAGGAGGCAGCTGATCGGTGTTTCTCTCTCATCAATGTTTCTAACTCTCTATCCCTCTCCCTTCCTCTCTGTAAAAAATCAATAAAATATATTAAAAAAAAAAACAGAGCCCTGACCCTTCATTTACATATTGTGTGACTGTTTATGTGCTATAATGACATGGTTGTAACAGAGACCATACGACCTGCAAAGCCTAAAATATTTATTATTTGGAAAGCTTACCAACCTATAATCTAGAGGGAATCTCAATCTTACTTTTTCCCTAAAAACAAGCAAACAAACAAACAAAGAAAAAACACAAATGCAAGGCTGCTCTTGAAAGTCTAGAACAGACTGCCAATGATCATGACCTAATTGCAAGGAGACAAGAATTGGCTTACTGTCTGTGATAAGGCTATGTAGATACAACCCAGAAAAATTTGCCTGTAAAGCAAAATATGGTTATAAACACAAATCCTAGCTCTACTTTATCCATGTGTTGCCATCCAAAAGCAAGCAAGCAATCAAGACCACCAAATTATCAACTAAGTAAAAAAAAAAAAAAAAAAAGACACCCTCAAACTTACAAACCAGCAAGCATCCTTTTTATCATTCATTCAAATGAATGGCTATTTCAAGACATTATTTCGAGTCAAAAAACAAACTACAGACAAGGTCAATACCAGTCAGTTCCAAATAATCCTTATGCAAAACAAAATTATATTGAAATGCTAAGGTGGCAAGTGCTATTTCTGCCACTTAGTTAAATTTACCTAACTATTTATACTAACTCGATATTTTTATTATTCCCCAAGTTCAAGTTCTTTAGACATCATCTGGCTATTCTAATTATCTTTGTTCCCAGGTTACCTCTCCATTTAGATAGGAAACTAAATCCTAAAAATAGCCAATCCCTACTCAAAAATAATGAACATGAATCACTGTACTATAGCTGCAACAATATACTACTATCTCAAAATGTGAGAAATAAAAATCTTTCTGTAGCACAACGGAGATTTCCTACATGATACTGTTCTATCTCTACTACTACCAGGTTGTTGGCCCACAAAAGTAAATCAGATTAAACTAGGTTATTTAATCAAAGGATTTGGAACTTTAAAATTCCACATCTTTGGCTTTCTTACACTGAAAGAAACCTATGTGGTTAAATAGCAAAGACAACATATATAAATATATACATGTATATGGATGTGTGTGTGTGTGGGTGTGTGTATATGAAATTTTGGATTAAAATGTCTTTTTGCAACCATATTTACATTTCTTACTAAATTTGGGTATTTACAGAAAAGATTCTTTAACCCCAAATTAAGAAATTACAGTATGTAGAATATGTATATAGTTTCCAAAATCTCTCATATATAAATGTTTTTAGTGGTTTCCCCCCCACCTCCGCCTTTATTTTATTGGAGTGAGGGGATTAATACCAAACGTATGTATAATTTATGTTAACCAAAATAATTTTCTAATGTTATTAGTAACTAAAAATATTAGGTGCTTGCACAATGGAGTACTTTTTTGAAAAAACAAAGTTTCCATTTAAACAAACATTTCAATTTAAATCAATAAAAACACTTCCAAGATACCCTTTAACACAAGATAAATGAAGGCTATTTCTAGGATTCTAGGTAAGGAACACTTCCATGAGATGAGTTCTTTCAATAATACAAAACAAAATCTGAAACAGTTGATTAAATTTTATAATATTCCTTTATCGGAAAAGTTGCCAGAGTAGTTTTAAAAAGAATTTATATTATAATGACATAGCAAAGAGTACTGTGTTGAAGTTTGAGTTATTAACAATCTATAAGGGTGTTCTATTATAAAATTTCTTCCACTTCTAAAACCATTTACAATAAAACAATTTTTCTTGGAATACAGACCTTTCACATGAACAAATACTTATGTATCAACTGTTTAATTAGCCTAATAACCAAGTTTTCTTTCCTTTAAATTCAAGGCTATTACTATTGTGTGAAGTAGTTTCAAGGCATTTTCTTAAAGTATTCCCAGTTATACAAAACAATGGGTTTGGAATCAAATCGTGTTAAATGAAGCTTCTGCTGAATGGTAAGAGAAAATTGGTTATGACATCCAGCTTTAATAAGTTGTCCTTCACAATTACTGTTTTTGAATAATTATGTTTAAAGAATATTTAGATTGGAAACCTACTTTTCACAGAAATCATTCAGAACACCCCAGTAACCTTCAGGAACAACGAACCATTCACAATCACCTGGACCAATATTGATATTTACTGAACAGAAGTTGTTATTTTCTTGATGACCTAAAATGTGAAAAGAAAAAGATCAGCATACTATAAATTCTATAGAAAATGTATCTTTAGAAATGAAACCTTAGAAATGTTCAACAGAGAATGCTCTAATGGTATTGTTTTTGCTTTTTTAATTGATTTGAGAGAGAGAAGCATTGATTTATTGTTCCACTTATTTATGCATTCATTGGTTGATTCTTTTTTTTAAATATATATTTTTATTGATTTCAGAGAGGAAGTGAGAGGGAGATAGAAACATCAATGATGAAAGACAATCATTGATCGGCTGCCTCCTGCATGCCTCCTAATAGGGATCGAGCCCACCCAGGTACATCATGCCCTTGACCAGAATCAAACCCGGGACCCCTCAGTCCACAGGCTGACGCTCCATCCACTGAACCAAACCAGCTAGGGCTCATTGGTTGATTCTTGTATGTGCCCTGACCAGGGATTGAACCCACAATCTTGGTACATTGGGACAACACTCTAACCAACTGAGCTACCTGGCCAGGGCCTGTTAGTATTTTTGATAGTGTCCCACAGGATTATTAAGCTCTGTTCATTTTTCTTCATTTTGTTTTCTCCTTAGAATAGATAGTTTCTTTTGACCTATGTATGTTTACTGATTTTTTTTTTTATCCTGCTCAAGTCTACTGTTGAAACCCACTAGGGACTTTTTTGTTTCAGTTATTATACTTTCAGCTTCAAAATTTTTTTACTTTCTTAATAATCTCTATGAGCCATTGTTTCCCTTGGTTCTTGTCCATGGTTTCTTTTAGCTCTTTAAACATCTTTAAGACAGTTGATTTAAAGCGTCTCGTAAGTATAATGTCTGTACTTTTTCAGGAATAGTTTTTGTCAACTTATTTCTTTCTTAATGTCTTTCTCTTTGTTGCTTGCTTTCTTTCAGGTGTTTTTTTTCTGACTGGAAGAAACTAAGACATTCCCCAAAACATGAAAGCTGAAGAAGTTTGTCACTAGTCAATCTGCCCTATAAGAAATGGTAGAGTTTTTTAGGCCAAAATGAAAAAAACACTAGATAGTAACTCAAAGCCCTATGAGATATGAACAACTAAAGTAAAGGTAAGTACATAAGAGGGAAGACTCACACTTCCCAATTTTGAAACTTAACCTCAAAAGCCAATAGTAATAAAACCAGTGTGGTACTGACATAAAGACAGAGATATAAATCAATGGAACAGAATCAAGATTCCAAAAATAAATCCATACATACATTATAACTATGCTCAATTAATTTTCAACAAGGGTGCCAAGACCATTCAATAGAGAAAGGATTATAGTCTTTCTGACAAATGGGACAATTGGATAGCCATATGTAACAGAATGAAATTAGACCCTTAACTGATACCATGTACAAAAATCAACTTAAAATGGATCAAAGATCTAAATATAAGAGCTAGAACTATAAACAGTCTAAAAAAATATTGGGGTAAATCTTTTCCGACCCTGGATTTGGCAATGGCTTCTTTATATGACACCCA